TCCTGGTGAAACAGCCAGCACAGTATTTATTATTGTGCCGGGTTTTGACTATGGATTTAGATATTGATGGAGTCTGCGCCTCCAAGCAAAGAGCGCTAATTAGCACCCGCAACAGAGAGCCAGCTTTTAATTAAACACAGCTTAGCGAGGGGGACTTGTTAGAGACACCGTGCCATGTGTGACAGTGACGTGGGCAGGAGGATTTTGGAGCAGGGCGCAGGTCCTGCAGTGGGACAGGGTGTGGGATGTGCAGCTGCACTGCCGGGGACAAGCAGAGCCTCAGGGCTCCTGATGCCTCCTCCACCAAGAACCATCCAATTCCTTTCACTGCAAATAACCAAACAAGCTGCACAGAGAAGAGAATAATATTAATATTTAAAAGGCATTTATAGTTTTAATCAAGCTTTGGGGGGAAAAGACAGCTTAACATGGCACTTTACACAGTTGATAAAATGTTTGACATTTACTGGTGCCTGTAATGAATCTTGTCTCAATTTTCTCTTTTAAAATGCCACTCCAGATACTCTATCTATCTGTAGGGTTTAAAAAGCACTTATCCAACAAAGCATTATCACGATGGAGAATATGAAAGGGTGTCTTGGCAGAGTAGCACCAGCTCTAGGGTTTGCTGGCACCCAAGCCAGGCAGAGGAAGGAGGAGCAGTGTGGCTCCATGGCCCTGCTGCAGCCCAGCCCACCAAAACACCTCAATTTTCCCACTGGCCACAGCACAGAACATGAGGCTCAGCTGTCGACCAGTGCTGAGTGCCTGGGATACAGCAAACCCAAACACTTTGGAGGCAGAGGAGGCTGGAAGTTTGCTCTGTCCCAGAAGAACAGACCTTGGCTGCCAGTGCTGCCCATGGCAGGACAGTGCAGGGGCTCTGGGTGTTATCAGGGAACCACAGCTCTCGTGTGCAAACAGAGCTGCTGCTCCACGGGCGATGATCCAAGGAGTGTTCCTGCTCCTCCTCTGGAAGGACACTGCAGAGGGAAGTATCAGCAGTGAACACAGGCAGCTACTGGCCTGGACTTCCCTTTGAACAACCACTCCAGTGTCCTTTGCTTCTCCCTTTTATCTTTACTTTTTTTTTTTTAGAGGAAAAAACCAAATTATTCTATGGAAGTTAGTGTCTGTCTCAGGAGCCTGGTATAGAAAATTAGGTTTTAATAGCTTTGAAATTGAAGCTCTTTGGGTCAATAGGACAAGATTCAGACAGTGAAATCACAGGCCCATAAAGGGAAAAAAAGCAAATATTTTGTTAGTCATCAGAGAGTCACAGTCCAAAGATAGCAGGCAGGAGCTTAAAATACTGCTGTGCTCGTCAACTCCCGAAGTGTTTAGTCATAAGCTCCTTTTTTCTCTTGTTGTCTCTCTATATATTAACTTTGGGAAAGCAGAATTTGGCTTTCCGTCCTTGGACGTGCCTGGGAATTCCTCAAGTCACCGCCGGAATTGGAAAGTTTACTCTGAGCTAAAAGCACTGTAAAGTCTGTGAGGTAACACAAAGAGAGAAGCCACCAACTCTGGCAGCACTTCAGATCACCCAGGACGGAGAACTTTCAGAGCAGTTCTGTCAACAGGCTCTGGAATTATTTGACTCATTATTAAAGGGATGAATGGGTTATAATTATTCCTAATTTCCTATTCAGAGCTCATTACCACCCCTAAGAAGGGTAGGTGGGGAGCCCTTGAGATCCGGTGAGTTACTTTAAATATTCATACAGCCGAGAGAAATTTCTTATGGTTTGGAGCTGTGATGGGGAAATGGGCCAGATGGGCTGGGAGGCTTCTCCCCCATGGCCACTGCTCCCCAAAAAAGCCCACACTGACAGCAGCACCAGCCCAGCACTCAGAGCTAAGACACTGTTAAGGGATCATCCCCTGGCAAGCAGGAGATGGACACCTCAGTGTTTTGTCCAGGTCACCCAGTGCTTTGTGGCTATTCCAGGTTGTAGCTGCAGTGAGGTGAGGCAGTGGGAGGCCACGGGATGGGACGTGGCTCCTGGTGAGAGCTGCTGTCCTCTGACAGCGGCTGATGGCACACGAGGCACCCGAATGTTGCCTACAGCCCACGCACCCCTAGTACATGGAAATGTCATGTTGTTTCATCCAACTTTAGCCCTCCAATTAGTGCCCAATTTCCTTCCAAGGATAAAGCTATCCGTTATTTTTGGCTGGCCACTCCAGCTCAGGGCACTCTCATTTTCCCCCGTGCTCTCAGAGGACAGACGCTTCCCGTGATTGCCTCAGAGCAATGACAAAACAAGCACATTCCTAATGCCTGGCAGAGCACGTACAAAATATATTCAATGTATTAACTTTGGCACTTGCTGGGTCTTGGGAGGCGCTCTTGGAGCTTCATCTCCACTCCCCTAGCTCCTTTATGCTCTCCCCTTCCTCTAGGAAATTCCCCTGTCCCCAAATTGCGGCAGCCTGGCGGTCACCGACATTTGCCGGCGGCTCGTCTGTGCCCACGAGGTGAGGCTGGCAGATGGCACTCAGCCACCCCGTGCCACGCAGCAGCTGAGCCAGGCCAGCAGTGCCTGGGAGGTGCTCATTGCTCCCAGGGGCTCCTAACCCCGGAGCCAACTCACGAGCAGAGCAGGGAGCACGGGAATGTGTCCAGGACAACACGACCAACTGCTCTGTTGGCTCAGGAACACCCGGGCTCACAATGCCCAGATGCTTAAAGCCTGGCTGAGGCTCACTGTGGGCTGTGCTGAGGGCAGCAAAGCTCTGGGAGGAGTGAGGAGAGGGACAAGGCAAGTGGGAAGTCGCCTTCTTGTCCCCACACTTGGACGAACCCCCTGGCTGCCATGTGGGACAGAGCATCCCAGGATGCCAGGCAGGAAAATGAGAGAAGGCTCCTCCTCTGTGCCACCTGCCCAGCGTGGAATTGTGGCTGGCACTGGTCATGGAGCAGCCACCCACAGCAAACACAGCCAGCTGCACGTGGGAAGCGCTCCCCAGGGCTCACTCCCTGGCCACACACAGCCTGGAATTTGATTATGTTTTCAATAAAAGAAGTGCTGGAAGATAACCCCCTTGAGTGGCATCTGCCACGTGGGCTGCTGCTGCCAGGATGGGAAAATTGCCCTTTGTTCTTCACAAATAAATCTGAGGGAAAGCCTGTTCGGAGCAGGCAGCGTTCTCTGGGGGCTGCTGAGGACTTTGCAGGCGTTGCCATGAATAACAGTTTATCTACAGAGTTTCGTTCAAAATGAAGCCTCAGACACAGCCTAAAATTATGGGAATGCTGTGAAAATGGCTTTATAAGCTATTGCTTTTTCCTTTCTGAGCAGCAGCAAAGTACAGGCCAGACAAAAGCCAGCCGAGACTCTAACTGTCATAAATAAGTCAGCAGAGCTGATAAAAATAAAAGATGAAATATAATTCAGCCATTCAGTGACAGATCCCATCTTAGCTGTGATATAGGGTCTGTTGAGACTGTCATTGCTTCAGGAAATTAAAGAATGAGCCCATTAGTGAGGATATTTAAAGATGTTCATATTAAGATTATGACTTCCCAGACTCAGCCCGACCAGGGAACTCACTCAGTTCCAAAGTCATTTTTCACAGCTCCTTTTCAGCGCTGCTCCGAAGGACCCAGAAGTGCCATGGGGGGTTGTGGGGTGAGGGGGAAGTGGGTGACAGCACCCAGCTCAGCTTGTCTGCTGCCATGGCAATGGGAATGCCAGCCCAGAGCCTCGAGAGGCAGCACAGAGGGGACACCCGGTGCTGGGAGAGGCACGGTGACCATGTGCCATTCCCCAGCGCCGCCGCTCCTTGCGCGCACGTGTGAGCATCTCCACCTCCCTGGAGCTCCCCTTGGAGCCAGCAGCAATCGCTGACGTTTGCTTCCTCTCCTGCCTGGCAAAGCAAACACAGATCGTGGCAACAACGGAGCAAATCACGTCATAAGAGCGGGTGTCCCATGAGAAGGAGCCCCAGGGAGGAGGAGGAACGGGGAGCCACAGGTGCTCCTGGATGCCTGTACCTGAGGGGATGTTGAGTAAAAATGAAAAGCAATGGTAAAAAAAAGGTGAAGGTTCCAGTCCTGGGATGTTGGAAAACTGATGGATAATTGTAATTAGCTTTCAGAATTTTTAATTATAGAAGGGGTGTAAATAATCACAAAGCACAGCTTCACTAATGAGAGTCCTTGTGCTCAGAAACACGGGGATGCATTTGTTAGGGAGACTTTGAAAGCTCTGCTGTTAATTAGGTGTCTCACAGCCAGCAGGGTTTCAGGAGAAGGAGAAACATGTATACATTTAAATCAGGCTCATTGTGAGAGGTACCCAACATCAATTATGGGATAGCAGGGTGCTAAAATGAACGAGCTTTGTAATTAGAGAGTGGATCTGAAAGGCAGAGAAGAGCCTTTGCTTCCCCTCAGGTGTCTGCCAAAGGTGTTTAACATTGGTCAGGACACAGGGGAGGAGGAGATGTGACCTGCCTTCCTCACCCTGGGGATCATCCCATGGCAGTGACCTGGCTTCCACGTGCCCTGGAGGACATCCCAGAGCAATGACCTGCCTTCCTCATGCTGGAGAGCATCCCAAGGTGGTAACCATGCACTGCAGAACATCCTGGGACATCCTGTGGAGGATCAGAGCTTCCCCAGGAGATCCCTGCTGGGCTCCTACAGCCCCGTGGCGCTGCTGTTATTGGAAGAGAAGCAGAAGGGGAGGGGGAAGGCTAGATTAGTTTAATTAAGCGTGGGGGAACAGATTGCATTTCCCCACCCACAAAACCAAACAGGGCACCTCGGGAGCTGCTGGCCCTGCTCTGGCCCGTACCCAAGACTGGAGGAAGGTCCAGCCCTCCCGTGATCCCCCATGGGTGCGCAAAGTAAAACAGCATCTAAAGAGAGAGAGTGAGGATGTTTTCTCCTTCCACTTCCTTTCTGGGGCCACCTGGTGTGTTTTCTTGGTGGTTATAAACAAGCAGAAAAGGAGATGACAAAGGCTGAGAGACACTTTTTGAAGCTGTGTCTGTTTTCGGCTGCTCTGAGAGCAGCAATGAGTTCAGACCCCGAGGCCAATCTCCACACTTCCTCCTTAGGTTTTCTCTTTTGGCTACAAATTTCAAGCCCTGCCACAGGAGTTTATGTAAGTAATTACGTTTACTTGGTATTTGGCTAAATCTAATGAAGCAATGATAAACAGCTCAGCGTTTTCTTGCCTGATGGCTAATGAATATTAATTTCTCTGTCAAAAAGGAACCTCTGCTCACTGCGAAAGATTAGATTCCCACGCTAAAACTCGGGGAAGGGGCAGAAGATCACTGGAAAGGATGGATTTTTGGGAAAACCTGCATCTGCTCCTGTATTGAGACCAGCAGGCTGGGTCCAGGTGCCTTCACAAGGAATGGCCACCAATCCCTGTCTGACCCATGAGCTTGTTTTGGCAGAAATCTGTCCAAGCTTGAGCTGTGAGGATGTGTCAGGCACCAAGTGTCCCATGGCACAGGTAGCAATGTCCCCAGGAATCCTCTTGCAGCCAGGGAGAGCCTTTGGCAGGAAAATGGCCCAAAAGCCTTCTGCAGGTGATTTTCCTGGCAGCGTGTGGCTCTCCCTTTCTGGAACTTTCAGGGTAGGTGTTGATCTGCTACTTGATGGGCATTTCTGGCAAAGTGGGAAATGTGGTGCTGCTGTCACCACGGGAACCCCAGCGCTGGAGATGTGCTCCAGCATCCCGTGGGATGTTCCTGCTGCTGGCCCCATGCCAGCCTGGCAGTCCCAAGGGCTTGGGGTTCTCACCCCAGCTCCCTGTGCTGCTCTGTGCTGCCTGGAGTGCCAGCATCATGTTAAACTGTTCTAACTTTAATCAGCTCGTGGGCTGCAGTGAAACACAGTTCACACATGATGTGAGGAGAGCCATGAGGCAACTCCCAGGGAAGGGCCAGTGTGAAAATGGATCTGCCCAGGTGGTCAAGGGGCAGCAAGACCCAGCTGGCCACTGCAGGTCCCTGGCAGGGCCCCTGTGTGGTGACATTTGCCTATCCATCTCCTTCCAGCATGCTGTTGGCTGCCATCCCTCCTTCTCTAAGGAGGGAATTGGATCTTCTTCTCCCCAGCAGCTGCTCTCAACAGCCCAGTAGGATGTGTTGAGTTTCTTGACATTGCTCTTAAGCATCAGCACCCTGTGCCCGAGGTGGTGCCAAGGGCTGGGGAAGCATCCTGGGTGCAATGGGGTCTGGGTCTGTCTGCTTTAAGGGCCACAGAGAGACCAGGGCAGCTCCTTGGCACCTGCATCCTCCCTGTTGACATCTTGGCAAGGTACCAGGAAGCTCCTGCAGAAGCACACCCAAGCCAAGGCACTGGAAGGGACTGCAGAGCAGCGCAGGGTTTACTGTAAAAACAGATGCTAAACTTTGATTTTGGCAAAAAAAAGCAACTTCAGCATCTGCTTGCTGAGGAGATGCCCAGTCTGGGGAGTGTGGGAGCTCCCAGAGCCCAGCAGCTGCTGAACCAAACTCATTTTTGCTACTCATACTTGTACAGCTCAGAGACAACAGGAAAATCACCGCTGAGTTCACCCACTGACCAGTTTAAGGCGTTTCAATGTGCTGAAACACTTGCCCAAATTGTGGAACTTTGTTGTCTGTGATCCAACTTCCCAGCAGCGCTGCCACCCACCCGCTCTGCACTGCAAACCTGCTCATCTCTCCAGAGCCAGGCTGAGAAAGGGATGAGAGTGGTGGCTGCTCTGCCACCGGCGGGTACAACTGAGCATTCCTTAGAACAAGAATGAGGGGGAGAGGAAAGGGTGCCCTGTGCAAATACCATCTGCATTCAGATTCAAATAAAATTATAGCAAATCTGCAGCACTGGAGATAAAAATGGTAATGAGTTTTAATAGTTCTCTTTGATTTCTGCTATTGAAATCGACTCCAGGAGGCTGATATTGTATCGGGAGATGTTAGATCCCTGGCCACACATCAGGCAGCTGTACTGCTTCCAGGAGTGAGGGAGAGGGAGTGGAGCCACTCTGGAGCATTGTGGTCATGGCAGGAGTGGGGAGCTGTGAGAGGCAGCCATTATAGCAGCCGTGCAATTAGTCCAGCCATCGATTGTTAATACACTTTAAATCAATAATCTGGGCAAAGCCAGGAGCTGGATTGATGTTGCAGGGGTGTGCAGTCTCCATAAAATTGTCATCTGAGCACCCAGGGAGGTGAGTTGCTTCTCCACTGCTGATTAGCTGGACGGGGCTGTAATAGGCTGGGAAAAGGCAGGAGGTGATACCAGATTATTCATTCCAGACTGTCTGACACACACACTCCAGCCAGCACCAGCTGTACCCCTGTCCCCTCTCTGTGGATCACCATTCCAGCTAATTGTACGTGTTCATGTGCACCCATCAACGTCGAAATCCAGGACTGGCCCCCCGTTCTCTGAGACTGAACTCATTACCTGTGCTGCTGATCAATTAACGATCTCGCTGTCCCTCGTGAGCAGCCGCAAGTCCAGAGGGAATGATGGACTCGGGAGGGAAGCACCTCTGGTGAGAAGGGCCTTAACCCCAGTGTCACCAAAGGAGCCATCACCTCACTCTGAAGTCAGATCACGTCACCTCCACAAGCCGTGGCTGTGCTGGCAAACTTCACTTCTGCCAAATGGATTTCTCTCCTGCCGTGGGGCTGTGGCTGCCGGGAGCTCAAGGCTGGCGCCCTGGGCTCCGGATGAGCCCTCTGTGCTTGTGAGGAGCCATCTGGGTCAAATAGCAGGAGGAAAGCTCAAAACCTCTTTTTTTTTTTCCTCTCTGAGAGCTCAAGGGCAAAATTTGAACATCAGAGGCAGGAACAAGTCTTCTTGGGCTGATTTGTGAACATCTTGTTGAGACATCCAGGATCAGATCCGAGAATATTTTAGTGATGCAGAGAGTGATTCAGAGTCATCCGGGTTATCCCCCCTCGCTGAGGATGCGATTGAGATGTTTGTGGCTGAATATCACCCGGGAAGAGCTGAGCAGTCACAGTGGCACACAGACTGTCACGTTTATATCCCAGGATCTCCTCAGCCTCCCAGCAAGGCTGAGAGGAGCATCCATCATTTTCATACTCGGGCTCTGCGTGGCAGCAGGGCTCCCTCGCTCAGCGCCACTCCTGGATCTGACCCAGCTGCTCTAGGAGGGTGGGCTTCTCTGGCTTCCCACACAGCAGGGACAAGATGCTCATGGGAAAGGCCAGGGATGTGCTGTGGCTCAGGAAAAGCTGATCCCTATATTTTTTACACCAGAAGTTTTTAGCGCAGGAGATTAACTTCTGCAGCCCATGGACGCGGCTCAGCCCGGGGGCCGCAGCGGTGATTAGGGACCAAGGGGTGTTCAAGACACCCAGATTTGGGATCTTCTCCCAGCCTGGCATCCCTCTGCCATGGCAGCACCCTGCAGTGATGCAGGAGGACTGACTCCAAGGGGGAGCAGCCATCCAAAGGAATCTCCAAGCACCTTTCCAGCGGCTGCTGTTCGCTTCCCGGCTGCTGGCGCGCGCGGATGAAACGTTGCCTTGTTTCTTCCCTCAGCGCTAGCCAGCTGCCCAAAGACAAACTGTCCTCCCTTGGGGGGTACATTAGAAATGCTTAAGCAAATTAGCCATAAATAGAAAATGTAACATATGGGGCTGTAGATAATGTTTCATTATAAATTATCATATTCTCCAGGGAGATACGCCTCTTCCCTTCACACCAAAGACTCTGGGTTTCTTCTTCTGTGCAAATTTTGAGTTTCTTCTTCTTCTTTCTTTTTCTTTTTTTTTTTTTCTTGGTAGCTGTTTCTGACAGTGACTGGACTCAGCAGTTAATTTCCTGGGTGCAGAAATGTGAATACGTAGCTCACTTCTGCTGCAAATCCTTTCAGATTTAAAATTCCCTCATTACAAAAAGAAAAGAAGTGAATACTCTCCTGATGAAAGGTGCTTGAGTGAAGGCCTTGAAGATCAAATGAGACTGTTTATCCACCTCAGAGTCGTACCAAGGACAACAAGGCTGCTTCCCCTGCTCTATCCCAGCACTGCTGGCACTGCCAGACCACAGTCACAGTTCCAGCCGCATGGAAATCAGGCACTTTCCAAAACAAGAACACCCACGAATTATTCCCTTCTCCTGCTCAGGCTGAACAGCTCAAGAGGAATCAGTCTAGTGCAGAGGTATCTTCCCGGGAGCCCATCAGTCATCCCAACACCATTCAGCTGTTGGGGATCCTGGTGGGCAGCACCAAACTCCTCCGTTTTCGAGTAAATATGAGAAAACTGGCACTATTTATCCAGCTACAGAGTCCTTGAGGGAACAGATTCCCTACACAGCCCAAAATCCATATTTAACATCTTGATAATTGATTGGTATGGTTTTTTTTCCTGTTTTGCTTATAATTTCATAAGTTTGCCCCCACAGTGATCCAGAAGTAAGTTCCAGTGGCCACTCAGGTCCCATCTTGCTCTGGGTAGGCATTTTTCTTCTTGCTGAAACCTCCCTGAGCTGACCTCCACTGGAGTCTCAATCATAGATGGCAGCACAAAAGAGATTTTTTTCCCCAAAATATTATTGTGTATGCAAACACAGACTGTGCAGGCAGAAGCCACAGCACAGGAAGTAGTTTTCTGCTCCACAGCTATGGGTGCATATTGACGTTGGTCTCCAAAACCCAGAAACTGAACCCATTAGAAACACTTCAAGTGAGGTTATTGCAGACGCAGAGATTTACCTGCAGTAATTGCAGAAATCTTGGCGCTTACATCCTGGAGTTAATTGATGTCATCAAAGTACTGAATGAGTTCTGATTTTGGTAGTTACAGTCCCACCTGGCACCTCTGCCTCTCTGTAATAACCACAAGCTTAAGGGAAGGGAAATACAGAAAGCAAAGCAAATATTTGGGAGGATGGTGGCAGCTCCTACTGGAGACATTTCCCTGCCTGGCTGCACGTGCAACATGTCCACTCCTGGTTTCTCAGCATCCTCCTCACCTGCTGGTGCTATGCAGAGCACTGGAGCTCATGTACCTGTAGGATGCAGGGAGAGGAGCAGGCATGTTGGTGGGTTGTGGACCTCTGAAGCATTCACGCTGCTGGGCTCCTGTCTTTCCCAGGACCAAAATGAACCTGGCAGGGTGAGATGTGGCTGTGCAAGCAGATGGGGGGATGCTTTCCTTGTTATCCCATCCCTGGTGTTCTGTCAGAGAGGATTTGCAGCGGTTCCCAGTGGCACCGAGGGCTTTAGCCAATATCCCGTTACGCTGGGGACAGGTGACTTAACTGGGTCAGCAGGCTTTGCTCTGAAAGGCTTAAACCTCTCCATTAGCTGCCTCTGTGTGTCTCCTGCAAACTCCAAAGCAGAAGAAAAAATGCCTTTAAATTTATGTGGAAGTTCATTCTTGGTGGAACCTGGTGGAGATGCAGCCTTGCCTTGGCATTGCCAAAAGGAGATGGGTGCTGGGGCTGTCCTGTCTTGCTGGGGCTGTCCTACCTTGCTCCCCACAGGATGTTTGCATGGCACTGGGGCTGGAGGAGACCCTGCAGTGCCCATCTTATCCCTCTGCCTCACCATCACCTCACCAGTGGAAGATGGAGGTGCCGTCAGGAGACACCAACACTGGGTTTGTCTGTCTCGGGGATCACCCCTGTCCTTGAGGCTTTCATGCTGTGTGGACCCTCACAAGCACCTTGGAGTGAGTGACAGTGGTGGGGCCAGAGTCCCTGTGAAATTCCCTTTGAGCATTCGAGCTGGAAGCAGTGGCTGCCATGGCTCACGAGGCTCGGAGAAACTTTCTGCCCAAGGAAATATTGACCTTTCCTGCAGAGCAGCAGAGCGCAAGGATGAACAGAGCTGTGCCCTCAGCACCCGGCTGAGAGCCGAGCATCCCGCAGATCAACCCGTCAGTTAAAATAAACAACAGCCCCAGTGCATCCCTGCCAGGGCAGAGCTTCAGCTTATTGTTCCAGTCAAAATAGAATTATCACCCTGAGGCCTTGGAGATCAAAAAAGGGGGAATGAACAGCGAAGGCAGTGAGGGAATTGCTGGAGCAGCGATTCTCTCGCCGGTGTTGGGAGCTGATGCTGGATTCCTGTAGACACAGGAATGATGCACCGCTGAGGGCAGGAGTCACAGCCTTCTCGGGTGCTCGATCCTCTCTTTCATTCCTTGCCAGCCTCTGGCTTTCATAGCCTTTGACTTGGACTTTTTTTTTTTTAAAGCACAAATCCATTCTCATTTTCTTGTTGCGGCATGACGCACTCTATGCAATAAGATGGACAAATGCGAGGGGCATCTTGAGCATGGGGCAGCACAAGTTCTTGCCAGGAAACAGCTGAAAATGTTGGAGTCCTAATCCCATTTGGAACAGAAGAGGGAGGCAATGCTCTCTGGACATCTCCGTCTCCTCTGGAGGCTCTGACAGGCTCTGGGGCAGGCAGTGATGCCCTGGGCACACAGAATTCCAACCGGGTGGGAAATTGAGGCAAAAATCTGTCTGGTGCGCTCTGTGTGCTGGTGATGAACTATTCACGCCCTCCCAGCCAGTATTTCCAAAAAGGGACACCTTAATATGAAGGACAAAGGAGGAAGGTGGCGGGGCCGTGGGTCCTGCAGGAACACCGCGCACTTCCAGGAGCGGAGCGGGCGCGTCTCCCGCACGTCTGCGCAAAGCAAACACAGATTATGCCGTTTCTTCAGGCCTTTCATTCCACACGTCATTTTTTCTATCTAAGTATAGGTTTACATGAGAGGTAATTACCATCCTTTCACAGCTCTTAGCGCAGAGCAAAATGAGACGGAGTATTACATTCGTAATCTAATCGTAAATAAAAAGGGCCGTAATAACCCCC